ACATATACACACACACGGATATATGCACACATGCATACATGCATATGCTCACATTACCATTTTATTTATGGATAAAAATATTTAAATTAGGTTGAAGATATATCTCCTCAAATATTTATAATTTACAATGAAACCATTTGAAACATTCAAAATGCTTCCTTCTAGCTCTTTGAGATATCCAATACATTCTTTATCCATTGTAACTTTATACCCATTAATCGATATTAACCTGTCACCCCTCCTCTCATTCTGTTTTCATTTAACCCAAATATTTTCACATATATTCTCCATGCCAAACCACTTAGAGTAGGAATGGTGAACCTTTCAGAGCTTTCAGCGACAGAAACAGCATGCAAGCCATAATTTCACTACCACTGTCTTACAGTATCTTCCTTTTCACACAATAGAACAAATAAGTAGTCTGATTCTTGTAAATTTTTCTCCAATTTTTAGACAACATAAAATTGTAGGATTGTTCAAATTCATTCTAATACAGAATATACAATTAACCAATTAAAAATAGACCCTCCATCAAAAAGTCACAATATTCTAACAGACTCTGAATAAAAAAAATAAAATTTCAAAGTTAAATCTTATGCAAGATTAAGAGAGCTTGTCAGAAAGCTGGGCTATCACTGGATGCCTTTCAGATTTAACCTCACATTAAAATGAGAACCCTCTTCATTGTACCTATGACTTACCTACAAATAGAACAACTGAGATTTTTTTTTTTTCCTAAAAAAGACATTCACTAAATCTCTCTGGGCTTGTTTCAATGGAACTATTAATGGTAGTTTATATTTAGTTAACAATAAAGAAAACTCCAAAACAAATGCTTAACTGGGCATGTTCCTAGGACCACAGGCATGAACCTTGGGAAAACCAGAATGTGCATTTAAGTATTATACACTTAAAACAGCCAAAGAAAGAGAAGTACATAGACAAAAGCCAATTACTGTACAGCTGATTACGGTTAAGTATCAGGCCCCTTTACTTGAATGTGACCCTTCCAAGGCTCTGAATCTTTTTCCATAACAAGGGTTTGCCCACAAAATGGAAACAGAGGTGTCCTGATAGAGGTTTAATAATCAACCTCAATTCACACAACCTGTGATCCCTACAAAACGAGTTTTAGGACTTGTGTTTACTAGACTTGAAGAACACCTGTATACAATTATACTAGAAAATAGAAATAGTATTAATTTTTTTCTAACAGAATTCAAACTTTTCCTTTCCTTTTTTTTTTTTTTTTTTTTTTTTTTTTTTTTTTTTTTTTTTTTTTTTTTTTTTTTTTTTTTTTTGGTACCAGGGAATGAACTTGGGCCCTTGCACTTGCTGAACAGATGGCGGAACCTGTGAGCCAAATTCCCGGCCCCTCCGAATTCAAACTTTTTGGTCACTATTTGAGTGTCTCACAGCCATATTTCACTGTACATACTACTACCATCACAAACTAATACTCATAATGCTGTAATCAATTACATTATTTCTGAATTTGAATGGCCACTTAATGATAGATAAAAGTTCAACTTCCTGGGGCCAAGGATGTAGCTCAGTGGCACCTGCCTCACAAGTGCAAGGTCTCGAGTCGGATCCCTGGTACCAAAAAAAAAGTTCAACTTCTCCGTCTGGCTTTCAAGAAACACACACTTTAAATCATTAAATATATTTTCTTATCTCCAACGACTTCTGCAATGCTTCTTTGTTGTTCTCCATCTGAACCTTCCTTAGTCATCTTAGAATTTCTTAGTCTGAATTTCTAATTAGTCAAGCCTGCACTTAAACTATCATATTCTATTATTCACATTGCCTAGTTGGTGAACAACTGTTTGTATATATTTTGGGCCTATGCTCTTAAACAGTTTCAAACTTAATATCATTATTTTTCATCCTCCAAGATACTATAACATTTTTAAAAAGTGTCAGTTACATAGCACTTAACTTTTGGCTTAATTGAACTACTAGATCTATACCTGTACCTCAAAATGGAAACCTCTCCTTAGCCTCAATACCTCAGAACTTCACCTTTGCGTTTTTATGACACTGGAAGCATTCTCCAATCACATTATAAAAATAAACTCCCTAAATTTAAAAAAAGCCTTCCAATGCATATATTGTGTTGTATTTGTAGATTATAGTTCAATCTGATGCTTAATAGCATTCCGTGGCCCAAAACTCTGTTCCACCTTTATATTTTCCTTTCCTCTTACCACTTTCATTCCTGACTCTAAATTTGGTGACTGAATAAAGAAAATTGATTAATAAACAAAGAAAATAAAAGAATCTTTCCCAAAGTTATAAAAGAAATGATTATATGTGTCCTTTCAAATTTGTATGTAAATGTGAATAGGAAAATACAGAGTCTCAGGTAAAAGACAAAAGTGAGAATTTTAAGTCAATTTCCAAGCAAGTGAAAATTTTTTTTTTTTAATTCTTAGGGGCGACAAAGGATTGATATTTTAATTTTGTCAAGAAAGGATTAAAAAGGGAAAGAAACATTCTGACATCCAGAAAAACTGAGGAATAATTTTCAATAAAAACGTCCATTAAATTGAAAAACCTGACATTAACACTGAGTAGCACACTTCACCAACAGCTGGAAAACACTATCATGTGGAAATTAGTTTCTGCTTCAACCCAATCTCTTTGCCCTTGCTGAGACTATGAAATTTTATGACATCATTCAAAGATACCCAAAAACCACATTAAAACCACGTAATTTTTTTAAAAAAAGGAAGCTTACTTCTTCCACGTTAGTTCTTCTCATAAAAAGAGGGCATTTTATGTATGACCTACAGAATTCCTAAACTGAAGAGCAGCTAAAGGTCAAATGTCAACACTGTTTTATATGAGAAAAGTGTGAAGACCTCTGCAACTGTAAAATTATTAAGAAGTTCCTATCAAATGATTCTGCAATTAAGATGTTAATTTCTCTAATATAGAACAAGAGCACTGCTTTAAGTGAGCACATGCAATCAGGTTGTTATCTGCTTTACTCATTCAGCTGAAAAAAATTTACAGCCCCTTACTGTTTAAGGGTCTCAGTGCAGACCCAACTAGTATCTGCCAAGTAATCCTTTCAAGTTCTTCAAATTCTCCCATTCCATTTCTTCTAAGTCTTGCTAAAAACTAGGTCTGCAATTTGATCATTTATTTCACCTTCTTTTCACATTTTAAGTCTGTTTCACTGGTTCTTAAGTATTTGTTCTGTGCAATACTGAACTGAACACTTTGGGTTTAGTATAATTTGATGTTTCTTGGCTTAATTTTCATAGCACTTTGTGCCACTTTTACAATACTTATCTTTTATGTAGTATAGCATAGCATTTAACATAGTCCTGTCAGCTTGAATCACTGGCACTACATGTATGACTACAGTTCCATGCTGCCTGATGGTTCAGAGCCACCCAGCAGCAAGACATACAAATTACGGCTCCAATGTGAACTAAAGTGTTAAAGATATTGGGTTATTTACTAACTGGGTGATGCTGGGCAAGTTACTTCATCTTCACTAATTCTGCTTCAATTTCCCCTTAGTAAAACTAGGATTGCATTTGTATCTGCTTCATAAGGTTCTTGTTAAGAAAAACATTAGTTATGTACAAAAAGTAACAGGGTTTGTGGCATGCAGTGGATCCTCAAGTTATGACTGGCCTGATATACAAACAACTTGGGTTAAGTTAATGGAAGATTCATCAGCCTCGTGTTGTCTATAGCACTTACTAAGGCAAACATCCAGATCTCAGCCGTACTGACTTACAATCAACTTGATTGCAACCAGCCCTTGGAACAGATGGAGTTCATAAGTTGATGGTCTACTGTTTTTAAGCATCGTCATAGTGATTTACCTAATTCTAATATCAACATTCTATCTTAAGGTTCTTTTTGTGGAACCAGAATTGTTTTTCTTCTCTGAATCTTTCAAAATTTAACAATGTGCTAAACAGGTATGTTTATATATGTATACATATATCTGTTGAATTAATTACTGTTGGGTGCTCTGAAGTTGTTCTGAAGGAGCGTTGTAACTGTTCTCTAGTCAATTTACTTGTCTATATTTGAAGTTCGGAACAGTTAACAAAATTGTCAACCAGAAAACACCCTGATAATGGAGGAGAATAAACAAGTACTCCAGATGGACTCGGACAAGTATTAAAATTTCTGTTCTATAGTGGTTTGAACCAGGTGCTAGAGGTTACTAAAAGCACTGTTGCAGACTGCAGCCCTTTAGATAATTAGACAGCCAAGATCAACTAATCTTGCTAGTCTTGCCTACCCTAGTGTAGGAGAAAGGGGAGGCACTCATTGTTTCATTATCAGTATGGAACTTCACCCTAAGGAGACCATCCTTTCAAGGAAAATATATTTTAAACTATACAGTTTATCTTAACACTTCACAGGAATTTTACATTTCATTATATAATGTAACATGTTTATCTATTCTGTGGTTTCCAGGCTTCCTAATGTTTACTGCCTCCAGGTATAGCAGTACCTCATTTCAAGAAACAATCTTAGAATACATTTCCTACAGAATATCGTTTTTATACTCTTTAAAAATTACTCTCAGGATAGCCAGATAAGTCTGTCATATATAAAAGAATAAAAGCAGCACCTATATTGTAAGAAAGCTTGTCTTTATAAAATTATTTCAGTCTTATTTATGTTAAAAAGTCAAATTCAAACATCACAGTGGAATCATGTATCAACTAACTCCTAAAGGCTGTAACTGAATTTCTATTTTTCTCCAAAGTGCAAATGTGCTGTCAGAACACTAACAGGAAATAATCCCGATAAATTTCTAAAGTACAATGTTAATGTATTCAACAGAATACAGTAATGCTTATGCTAAGGTTATCAGATATTGTTATAATACTTGGTAGACAAAAGCCATGTTCCTCTTTAAATTTTTTGTTTTGTTTTGTTTTGTTTTTTGAGACAGGGTCTTACTATGTAGTTGAGACTGATCTGGAGCTCACAGTGATCCTCCTGCCTCAGCCTCCCCAGTGCTGGGATTACAGGCATGCACCACCACACCTGGTTTCCTCTTTAAAATTTTAAAAATTTAAGTATTTTATATTCTAATTATAGCACTACTGTCCTAGGTCTACAAAAGTATGCAAGGGCTTTGTGTTTCGATCAAAACAATTCTGTCGCTTTATTCGAAATTTCAGACCTACATGATTTCTACCATAGTGGACTTTAACGTCACTAGAAATGAGTAAGGTTATATAAAACTAAATCATCAACCTATCATGCTTTATGCGATAAATCCTTAATACAAAATAGTAAGTTTTAAGATAGTTACTCAAGTAAAAAAGTGCTCGCTACGCTTGCCTTTTAAAACAGTAATTTGTAAATATGGGTGTTACTGCTGCCCCGCCAGGTATGGGGACTGTGCTGCTCAATACTTTCCAAATTCATGCGCAAAGTATATAACCAACTCCCAAAAACCCCTCCCAAGGAAGGCAGCAGGAAGGGGCTGGGCGCTCCGTGGGCTCATCAGAGAAGGAAAGATACCTGGAAAGCCAGGCAGTACGATAGGGAACCTCGCGCACAATGGATCCCACGAGTGAGGCCCTTGGAAAGATAATGGGGAAAACCTGGACTGCTTTTGTTTTAGGAATAGGGATATGGTGGGACAAACTCATCCTAGTGTGGACAATGCTTAAAAGACCTACTTCTACAAGGTTGTTACCAGCTAAAAATGGGGGCTCTCCGCCAGGGCCTAGGAAAAAGGAGTCATTATAGCGATGAACGTCCCGGAAAACAAGGACTATAGTGTCTGGCTATAGAGCTCTACTTACCGTGACCCTCCGACCCAGTTCATCTCTCCAAACCTCCCAAGGAGAAGCCACTAATAGCACAGTGGGTGGAGGCCAAACCTCACAGCTCTGGGGCTAGCAGCCCTTCCAGCAACCGTCTCAAACACTCCACCCGAAGCGCAAGCTCCCAGTAGCCGCTGCGCACCGGAAGCCACTGCTCACCGGAAGCACCTCCTTCCTGCCCAGGGCTTGGGGCCTCTCTTCTGGCAACCTCTATGGTAGCTGTGAGCGCCTCCCCAAAGGCTGGGCATCCTCGTGGGCGCGGGGGGAGGGGTGGGACTGCAGCGTGACTGGAATGCTGCTCACCACATCTTGATGGGATTGACCATGGCTTCATAACTCTTTCAAGGCAAGCTTGAATATATGGAAACACCTGACGTGGACCCACGGATAGTGTTTCACCATAATTCTATATTGGCCTTTGTTGTCTTTTTCAAGTCAGAGAAAAAGAGGAAAAGAAAGAGGACTTTTTTGTGTTTTTCAAGTCAGAGAAAAAGAGGAAAAGAAAAAGAGGCAAAGACAGAGTTACCGATCTGTAACCCTAAAAATTATATTTCTATTACCATGAGTTATTTCGTACCCAAATTCTTTAAATATTCCTAATAGGCTGTTTTAATATCTAGTGAAACATCACACTATGGCTATTTACTATGTATTCTGTACATTCTATGAGTTTCCAAGTCAGCTTAATCAAAATTTGGTACAACTCTGAAAGCCCAAAGACTTTAAACTCATTGGAAAAAAAAAGCAGTCCCAAAACAAAAATTGGATTTCGCTGTTCATTTTCTACTGTGCTTGTATCACAAAGCATTTATTTTATGAACTGTTCAGTAATACAAGGTGTGATGGAAAAACACAGTAATGTGTAAGTTTTTCAAAAATTTGAATACAATAAAACACATAGCCATTATTAATCTCCCTCAAAGTATTTACTCTTGCTTCAAACACACTTAGCCATCATTCTTGGCTGCTTTCTGGAGCAGTTTTTGGAAATCCTTTTTTTTTGAAGACTTTAATATCATCGGGAATGAATAGATTATATAAAACTTTTTTTTTTTTTTTTTGGTACTGGGTAGCGTACTCGAGTCCTTGCACTTTGGAGGCACGCAGCAGCACCACTGAGCTAAACCCCAGACCCCTGGGTTATATAAAACTAAATCATCACCCTGTCCTGTTTTATGTGATAAGTAGAACACAAAATAAATGGTATATTTTCTTTAAGATAGTTATTCAAGTAAAAAGTACTCAATCTTTCCCTTTTTAAAACAATAATTTGTATGATTTTGAGTGCAACTGGAACTATATAAAAATTCATACAAAAACCCAAGAGAATCTCATCATAAGACTGGCAGTAAGATGGGGCTCAGGTGCTATGAAATGTGATTAAAACAAAAATACAGTGTATCACTGGTCGTGGTGGTGCACACCTGTAATCCCAGCACTCAGGAGGCTGAGGCAGAAAGATCACTTTGAGTTCGAGGCCAGCCTGGGCTCCATAGTGATACCCTGTCTCAAAACAACAACAACAACAAACAACAGTGCCAAATACTGCCAAATACCACCGGAAGGAAAGGCAGGCTCATAAAAACATTACCATGTGACTTCTGGCTCTTCCCGAAAGACAAAATGACTATGAAAGTTGAAAACTTTTAATGAGTTTAGCAGCCACAACAGCACAACTAAAAACACTCAAGAAAGTAGACTTCCAGAACTGCTTCAGAAGTGGCAAGAATGATGGGATAAGGGTGTTGGAAACAAAGGGGAGTATTTTGAGGTAGATTGATGACAGTGTGAATTTTAGCATAATTTTAAAAAATTTAAACATTCACCATATTTTTTGACTAGATCTCATATATTAGTTAAAAACTACCCCTCTTCTGTTAGTTAAAAACTAGAACTCCTTCTCTGGTGTGAAAAACTACAATAGTACACAAGATCCTAATGAGATAATTAAGAGTGTGAAATAGGAAGAAAAGGGCTAAAGGTGTAGGGAAAGTGGGAACGGTGGGGAAGGTAATAA